CACAAGCCCTTTTGAGGCATTTGTTTGTGAAGTTATGTTATACGGAGTATAAGTTCTCCATTTCCCGTTTTATTTCATGATGGTCTGCTTTTTCTTTATTTTTTCCAAATCAAAATCATTTTTTTGAAGCCTTTTTAAGCTCAATTCTACATATTTCGTTGTACGTACATTCACAAACTAGATCAATATGGTCCTGGTCTGTGATTTTAACGGTGTTATATAACGGTAATTATAAATATGGAAAAGTAAAACTCTTATAGTACTACATCAATGCATGGTGGACAGTGGAACTAGCCCATTTTATTTTTTCACTCACTCACATTATTTTTTACTAATTATAATGCTATCGACTTACTCCATTTTAATTTTTAAAGAATAGAACAAGGCATAAATAAAGAGCAAAAGGCTAAAATTTGACTGTGCCAGAACTGTGATGTACATTTTCCCTTAAAACAAATAAAAAAACATGTGAGTACATGAATGCTATTTATTTACTTGTTGTGTTTAAAGAATACTTAACTGATACATAAAAAAGTAAGCTTAAATGAATTGTAGGTATTACCGGTGTCTATGAGTCCAATGATAGACCCTTCCCCCATTTTACCATACTGGGGTGGCTGAGCTCCGGCTCCAAGTGATAGCCCCAGAAAATCCCAACTTCTGGTTGTATGCAACTTGAGCTTCCGGCTCTTCGACACGTATACCACTCCCGGCATAGCTGCACGCAACAACAACAACAACAATAATAATCGTGATCGAGAACATATATGGATACTACTTACTAATAAACAATGAAAATAATATTTCTGTTAAATTTAATAAGGTACCGGCTAAAGTCTCAGCCTGTGCCTCGGTCAACCGAGCGGCAAAGCCGGAGAACCCATGCTTGTATGAGTACAACATGGCTTCCCGCGCAGCCAATGGGCTGCCGAGGACGTCCTCGAGGAGCTTTACATGGGCAGCTTTTGTGGCTTTCGACTCGCTGGAAGAATGTCCCATGTAAACGATATGGGCGTCCTCGCCTCTCGGCTTAGTGTGTGTGGTCATAGAGGAAGTTGTTGCAGAGATGATGAGAAGGAAGAATGCCATAAGAGGGATTGTGCATGAACACGAAGTCATCATGTCGAATGCAGAGAGAATTGAACGAAATATACTCCCTCCGTTTCTCAAAAGAGTTCCTCTTTTGACTTTGGGGGAAAATAAGGAAATGTTAAATTGTAGTTGACTTTCCAATTTTGCCCTTGATGTGATGGATAAAAGTAAGATGTGATAGTTTAGTTGTTAGTGAAAAAATATGATGTGATAGGTAGGGTATGAAAAAGTAGGGGTAAAAGTGGTTTTTTAATAGAAAAGGGAAGTGTTTTAAGAAAAACAAAAAAAATGAAAGAGGAAAGGTTTTAAGAAACGAAGGGAGTATTAAAGTTAAATCTCAAAAAGGCCAAGAGAACAAGGAAAAAGAACTGGTTGGAGAATTGAAGTGTGAGATAATGAATAAGAGTGCTCCCAATATATACACATCTCGTGATGAAAAAATGTGGGGAGGGATGATAAGATTCCCACTAAGCTCTTTCTGTCCCATTTTGAAAAAAGTTCTTTTTTTTTAATATTACACTTCTTGTGTTCTGTTTTTTTTTGGTAGGGAATAAATGGCTACAAATATTTAATTAACAATTTCAATTGTTCCATATAAATTTATTTTTTAATATTAACAAAAAAACTCCTTTAAACAGGTCACAAAATAGTAACGTACTCCTTCCCTCCCAATATAAATCACTTTTTTCAATTTACAAAATTTGACTAGAATTATTTTCAACGTAATTGATTGGAGAATTGGAACGGAGTTAAAAAAATAAACTTTACATATTAAAAAAACTATATTAAAAGCTCTACTAAACAAGAAGTGACATAACTATATAATTTTATCAAATAAGTAATAAAAATAGGAAAAAAAGTAAATAAAGTTTGACACCGTGAATAATAAACGGTCAACTTAATTTGGGACAAGAGAGTCTTTATATATGTATATATGTTGTCTCAAAATTAAAAAATCTATATTTGTTACATTTATTTTAAAAGTTTATGCATGTTGTGTCATATAATTATCTACCCCAAATATTATAATATTCCAAAAGATTGCCTTAAATAGGAAACTCTTTTTATGGTTCTAATGACAATTATAGAAAAATGGGGAGCACATGTCCAAATTATACAAATTGAAACAAGCCCCACTGGTCCACCACACTATTCCTCAATCCTCACACAAATTTGATACAAAAACTCGGTCCACCCCCAAACGACGTAGTTTAACCTAACGAATATTTAAAAAAAAAGTAATTGAAAGTTAAAAACGTGTATTTAAAATTTAGAGTGAATTCCATAAATAGTTCCTAATTACTAGTAGTTTTTTATATTAATTCTCTAATTCTAAGATATTACATAAATAGTGCTCAAATTTTGAAAATTATTCCATAAATAGTTCTTGACTAATTATGACAGAATATTTTTTCCACAATTAGTCCTTGAATGATTTTGATAGATTTTTTTATAATCTATAGATTTTGTAAGTTCATTAGATTGTTTAAAGTTTACAGAGTTAATTAGATTCTAATGTATTCTATCAAATGATTTCATAGGATATACATTTTTCTTTTCTTTTTTCTTTTTTTTCTTCTTTTCTTTCTTCTTTTTCTTTTTCTTTTCTTTTTTCTTCTCCTTCCCCAGGAACCCTAGCCGCGCCGCCCATTTTCTTCTTTCTATGTTTTCTTTCCTTTTTTTTTTTCTTTTCTTTTCTCTTTTCTCCTCCATCTTCCTCCCGGCTTTCTTACGGCGAACAAGACGACTTCCTCGGCGATAGGACGACCTCCTTGGAGACGACGACGACCTCCTCGGCGACGATGGCGACCTCCTCGGCGATAGGATTGCAGCGGCCAACCTCCTCTGCGATAGGATTGCAGCGGCGATAGGACGACCTTCCGTCGGGGTTCCGAGCTCCGGCGACGCAGGGCAGGGACGAGAGAAGATGAAGAACGTGAATAGGAGTAAGCAAAATCTCAGGTCTTTTGATTGGATTTGGAAATTGGATTTGTATTTATACCCAAGGCATGAAAATCCATCAAAATCCACAATTTTTAAAATCTTTAAAAATCCATCGATTTTTGAATACCATCATTCTTAGAAAGATTTTTTAAAGTTTGAATTGAATACACTTAGATTTTAAATGACTTTTTAAATTCTGAATTGAATACCTGCGGATTTTCAGAATCTAAAAAAATCTATCAGAATCCGGATTGAATACACCCCTCTAAGAACCATTCATGTTAAACCCTTGGAATTGAGGACTAAATACGAAAATTCACTTGTAACTCAAGACCATTTATGGAATTTACTCTAAGGGTCCGCTTGGTATAAGGAATTGACGGAATTGGAATTGAATTGGAATTGAAATTCCATGGGATTCAATTCCATAGAATTGAATTCTCCCAATTCTAATTTATTTTTTGCACTATCAATTCCAAATCCACATAATTTTTGTGTTACCAAACACCAGAATTGGAATTGAAGTCCTCAATTCCAATTCCATATTTTGAATTCCATGTACCAAACGGGATCTAAAATTTATTTAGACGAGAAAGATTTATTACTCCGTATTATTCTTTTAACCACTTATTATTACTCCCTCCATCTTTTTTTATGAACAAATAATTAAATATAAATCGGACAAAATGAGTATTACATTTTCCAGTATGAATTATTGTGGGTCGATGAAACACTTTGCAATAAATTAACCAACTACGTAACTTAATATGCTCTATCAATTAACATTTCCTATGGAGGAGTATCACCATCTCAATTTGATTGTAGAGGGCACATGCCATTTTCTGTTTCTTATAGTAAAAATTGCTTACTTTTCCCTATTTTTGAACAAATTTGTTTTGTACTCATCGTAGCCTATAAAGCATTTAATGCATCCCAATTTAGCTGCCCATTTCTTTCTATCATATTCACTCGGGAAATTATAAAAAAATGTCTAAAATATTCAAAAGATGGGGTAAAAACATAATTGACATTTCAAACAAATTTCTTTAGGCTCCCTTTGGTACATGGAATCAAACTATGGAATTGAAATTGAGGATTTCGATTCCAATTATGGTGTTTGGTAACACAAATATTATGTGGATTTAGAATTGATAGTGCAAAAAATGTATGGAATTGGTGAATTCAATTCTATGGAATTGAATCTCATGGAATTTCAATTCCAATTCCATATCCCAAACGGACCCTTACATTATGTTTGGTTTAAGGAATTTGGAAGGAAAAGAAAAGAAAAATAGTTTTTCCTCATTTTCTTCACTAGAATGGAAGAAATTTGGTTTTCACTTCTCTTAGTACATTTTTTGCCTTCTTTTTTTCTTTTCCTTCCACTTTTTTTTTCTTTCTTCTTTCTCTAACCAAACAAGAAAAATGTCTTCCTCATCATTTTCTTTTCATTTCCTTCTCAAATTCCTTGAACCAAACATAGTGTTAAAATGAGATTCTTTTATAAAGTACACAATTAAATTCAGGCAAAGAGCGTATATCTAAGAAAAAGAAAAGAAAGTCAAAGAAATCAAAAATATTAAATTTTGTTTGTTGGTTGGGAAATTGGTGAAGATATTGATCAATATTTTTCAATAACTTTTTTGTTTAATTGTCATAGAGTAAACAGAAAAACACATTGTTTAAAAAGAAAGAGGAGCAAATTCTTACGTGGTCATAAGCTCCAAACTTATTTTATGGGCTCGATATTATAAAAAAAATGGACTTTTTGTAAAAAAAAAAAAAGAAAATATCCATTTTTCTTGAAAAATACTTTCTCACCAATAATTACAATTTTTGTTTCTTTGACTTTCTTTTCTTATCCTTAACATTTTACTTTCTTTTTTAATTCTCTGAATAAGTGTAAAACTAGAGAAAACTAAGTGATAGAAGCTTACCTTTCCACAAACAAAAGCAACGGCAGCCCCTTAACCAATATTCACTTCTCACAACAGAGTCTACAGAGCTTAGGAGAAATTACTGGATGGAAGAGTAAAAGAGAGAAACTTACACAAGTTTATTGTTACACCACTAGTTGCATTGGTCATTATCTTCCACTCAGATTAATTGTACTCGAAAACGACTGTGAGACCGCAAATGAGTAACACATAGATCATCATCGTAACGTTCTTCGGTTCATCGTGAATCATGCAACATAAAATCAATATAATATGATGTTCTAAAATCTAAGTTGCATGATTCACGATGAACCGACCGTTCAATCATTGTAAATGGCAGTTTTGAGTGAAAATAGTTCGAGCAGAAAATAATGGCAGATGTAACACTAAGATCAATCCATAAGAATAACTAGGTATCGTGTGGTGTAACAAATTACCTGCTTCTGCCGCTTGAATGTGTCATCATGCAAGTGAGGACCCTCAGCCATGTCCCTCCACTTCCTCCTCGTACCCTAAAGCCCTCATCCTAACACATGACTTCCATTTCCTTTGCAGCTTGTTGTGTGCCAAAACCCACAGTGTACATTTCCTTGGGTTGCCGCCATGAGGATTACTCCAAAGCCTCTCCATCAAACTCATCCTGTGGCATCCTTTTGGCACGTGCGTCATCTTCTATGTTTTTCTACCAATCTCTCCTCGCGAATTCAATTTTACAGTACGAGCAAAACGAACCAAACCTCTAGTTTTCTCGTTGGGGCCCAAAGGAATCGCCAAGTTTTCGCTCATCTAGCCTACTGCTTTTGACTTTCATCTGAGGCTGATACGGAGACTTTCACATGCTTTCCCCATCGAAAAAGTCATCATTCATTCCAGTGAAAGATTATCCACCATTCTCATCCATGTTTCCATATTGTTAGTTATGTTGGGAGAGCCAAAATGTGAGGCCCTATTGTAAATTGGTGAACGGATTGTGAATTTCCCACACAAATTCTTATTTTATGATGTAGCAAATGGCAACTGACTTCCAAATATCAAAACTAAAAGTCTAAAATAATGCAATACTGTTTGGAAAAAAACATACCACACAAAATCCTTCTTTTTTCAACAAATTTACTTCTTCTTCTTCTTCTTCTTCTTCTTCTTCTTCTTCTTCTTCTTTTTATAAACATAATCATGTGATATACTCCATATGATATTCTTTTCAGTCTCACATAGTATTAACTTTTATCCTGAAACGAAAAATTGAATAGCAACTCGTAAAATTTATAAAGTAACATTCTTTTCTTGGAACCCTAAAACTCGATTACGACTTATGATCAAACATTAAACTTTAAATTCAAAAAGTAAATTTGAAGTAACAATTTTTAAAAAGATAATGATTTTTTAATGGGGAAAAAGTTATAGAAGAAATGATTTTAAAAAGTAATAATCTAAAAAAAGAAATGTTCAAAAAATTGAAGTAACTTTTTTTGGACATGAAGCAATGATTTAATTTATAAAAGTTTTAAAAAAGTAAAAACCAAAGTAATATGAAAAACTTTTTAAAATGAAATAACTATAATAACCCCGGTTCTCATGACATTGGTTATCAATGTCATGGGAAACATTGGGTACCTTGAGTGTGAAGCCAGAAAGCTAGGTGGAAGCTAACAGGAAATTGGCAGGAAGCTACCTAGAAGCTTACGGCTTAATCATTGTCTCCCTAACTAATCTCTATTTAAGAGATGCTAATGTGCTTGTAATGGTGGTGCAACAACAAATAATAAAATCCTCCTAGTTGCCCCGTGTGGACGTAGGTTGCAGTTGTCGGCCGAACCATGTTAAATCCTGTGTCGTTTATTTTTCTGCAGTTGATTCGTGATTGTGTGTTGTTTCCGCGTGCGTTTATTCCCAACAAGTGGTATCGGAGCTCGATTGTTCAACACGAGAACACGAATATCGAGAAGCTGTCACCAGGGTTCTTGGAGTAAGAACCGTGTGCCATCTGAGAAGAGGAAGGAGCGTCCGTCCGTTTCATTCGGATCTGTGATAGCCACTGCTAGGATCTGAACAGTCTCCGCTGTGAGGGCCGCGCCGGAGTGAGTCGCGCAGCAGGGGAGAGAGCCTCAGCCTTGGGGTTGCCTCGCTGTCGTCGTCGCGCAGCCTTGGTCTCCCGCCGACCGTTGCAGTCGCTGGGTAGGGCTTCGCGAGCAGCAGGCCGCGCCGCCCAGATCTACGCCGCCTGTTCGAGAAGGGGGAGAGCTGTGCAGGTGTTCGCCATCGTCTGCGAGCCGCCGCAGCGTCCCTTCGTAGCGCCGCCGTCGTCGTCCAGTGAAGAACCGAACCCATCGTCAATCCGCCGTCCGCGAGCAGTCAGGCCGCGTTGAGGAGCCACCGCCGCGTGGAGGAGCAGCACAGCCAGAACCGCCGCGCCGTTTCGCTCGCCAAATCGCCGCCACCGTCCTGGTCGCCGCCGTGCAGATCCAGAGCCTCGCCGCCTTCTAGTTCCGCTGCTGAAGTGCGTCGCCCTAGCGCAGTGGAGTTGGGCCGTTTGCAGGCTTGCAGCAGAATTGAAGAAAAAGGGGTTGATTGGCAGCAAAAGGTGATCCGACCGAAGAAGAAAAAAAAAGGTGGGGTTTGGCAGAAAGTTTGGTCGGCCCATTTGTCCTTTGAATTAATTTTGTTGGCAGGTCTTCTTTGGTGTTTATTTTTGGTGGCTTGGGTTTGGCGTATTTTAATTTGGACTGATTTATTTGGAGAGTTGGGCCTGTTTTCCTGACGAAATTACCAAGATCTGAAATTAGTTGTACCGGGTATCTCATCTTGTCGTTGGAGATGGCAGAAGATGGGAAGTTCTAAATTGAAAAGTTCGATGGTACAGATTTCAGTTGGTGGAGAATGCAAATTGAAGATTTGCTGGTTCAGAAAGATTTGGACGTGGTATTGGGTGACAAGCCAGAAAAGATGTCAGATGCAGATTGGGCAGGTTTGGATCGGAAAGCAATGTCCGTGATCCGACTCTCGTTGACCAAGAATGTTGCATTCAACATTCTGAAGGAGACGACAGCGAAGGGCATCATGGAAGCGCTGTCTAATATGTACGAGAAGTCATCTGCGGCAAACAAAGTGTTTCTGATTAGAAAATTGGTGAACACAAGGATGAAAAATGGCACTTCAGTTACCGAGCATATCAACAAGTTGAATTCGATCTTAGCCAGACTTTTGTCAGTGGGCATTAAGTTCGATGATGAAGTTCAAGCTTTACTACTGTTATCGTCATTGCCTGACACTTGGTCCGGAACTGTTACAGCAGTTACCAGTTCAGCGGAACCTGACGGATTCACTTTTGAGAAGATTCGTGACCTCGTTCTTGGCGAAGATGTCAGAAGGAGGAGTTCTGGTGAGTCTTCGGAAGAATCACTAAATATCGTCAGAGGCAGAGGAAATAACAGAGGTAGTGGGAGCAAGAACAGACGAAGGAGTCGATCGAAGACTCGGGATAGCTCAGGCGTAACATGCTGGAAGTGCAAGGAGGTGGGGCATTTCAGGAATCAATGCCCGAAAGAGGATAAGCAAGTGAACATTGCTAGAGGCTCCGCGAGCGACGAGGTTTTGTTTATCTGTTGTGCGGAGAGCAGTGTAGATTCCTGGGTCATGGATTCTAGTGCTTCATTTCATGCTACCCACAGCGGTGAAGCATTGCAAAATCTAGTTGTTGGGGACTTTGGAAAGGTACGACTAGCAGACGACGGAGCTCTTGATGTGACGGGCATGGGTGACATAGTGCTGAAGACCCCTGTCGGTTTCTGGACTTTGAAGGATGTCAGAGTGGTTCCAGCCTTGAAGAAAAGTTTGATTTCTGTTAGACAGTTGGACGAACAGGGACACGAGGTGAAGTTCGGAAATGGGCAGTGCAAGGTCGTGAAGGGAAATCTTGTCATGGCCCGCGGAAGGAAGAGTGGGTCGTTGTACATGGTCGGGTTACCGTCTGAGGGAGTGACCGTCCCAGTTCAGAAGAGAAACAAAGTCCGGTTCACAAAGTCTCGTGGGCAGAAGAAGGTTTTCTATGCAAGAATGAAACCCAGAGCCACAGGTCAGACTCAGGATGAACGAGCGAGGAAAGGTTCAATGAGGCCAGTCAGAGGTATCTGTGGTAGTGGGAGCACAGGTTTTGCTTCAGCCAAGGTTCCTATAAGACATTGGGTCCGGAGAACCAGTATTCCAGCTGTTGAAACATCTCCAGAAAATTTCTTGCTCAGTATGGAGATTGTTTGTTCTCAGGATGTTCCAGGATCCGGCAGTGCGTGTGTGCAGTGGGAGCCGGTAGGGACCGAGGATGAGTCAGGGACAGTTCAAGCCATGACTGATAGGTTGAAACTCAGGAGAGTTTCAACAGAGTCTTCTCGATGATCAAGAAGGCTGGTGGCAACTAGAGGTGGTGGAATTTTGAGTTCCGTTATCAGATTACAGAAGTACATGTGCACAGTTGAAGCGCAGGTGAACATTGTTCCGTGGCTTCAAGTGGGAGATTGTTGAGTGTGAAGCCAGGAAGCTACGTGGAAGCTAACAGGAAATTGGCAGAAAGCTACCTAGAAGCTTACGGCTTAATCATTGTCTCCCTAACTAATCTCTATTTAAGAGATGCTAATGTGCTTGTAATGGTGGTGCAACAACAAATAATAAAATCCTCCTAGTTGCCCCGTGCGGACGTAGGTTGCAGTTGGCGGCCGAACCACGTTAAATCCTGTGTCGTTTATTTTTCTGCAGTTGATTCGTGATTGTGTGTTGTTTCCGCGTGCGTTTATTCCCAACACCTACTGTGCCCCGTTTGTAAAATTGATGGTTTCTAACCCCATACACCCCTAATGCCGAAATGCTACAGTATTTAGTGTAGCATTTTAGCAAATCGGGGGCAGGATGAGGTTGGGGCTGGTTAGGCAGTAAAAACCATCAATTTTACGAACGAGACACCGTAGGTGCCCGATTTCATCCCCAAGCATTGATAACCAATGTCATAGAAACTAACCTCAACTATCATTTGGTGAAGGACATTACCGGGTTGTGCCGCTTGAATGTGGCATCATCCAAGTGAGAACAGAACATGACCCTAATATCAGCCATGACCCTTCAAAAACTCTTCATACCCTCATAAAGCCCACATCCTGACACAAGGCTTCCTTTGTCTTTGCAGCTTATTGTGTGTCAAAACCCACAGTGCATATTTCAATGGGTTGCTTGCTCATGATTACTCCAAGAACTCTCCAACAAATTAAACTTTACAATACGAGCAGAACGAACCAAGCCTCTTGTTTTCTCATTGGGCCCAAGGTGTATCTCCAAGTTCGGTCTACTGCTTTAGACCTTCATCCGATGCTGAGCCCGAGACTTTCGCATGGTTTCACCATTGAAAAAGTAATCTTTCATTCTAGAGAAGGTATCTCCCCCATCCCCACCCTCCACATTATCATCCCAGTAAAAAATGTTGGTTTCCATAAAGGTAGTTATATTAGCAAAGTCAAGAGTTGAGGCCCTCTTGCGACTGGAGAGTTGATTGTGAATTTCCCACACCATTTGTTTTAATGCCAAAATTTTTATGGGGTTCCGCCAAATAGGGAGCGATCCATAGTCTTGTGTAGTGGCCTGTGATAGCTCAATACAACAAGGCCGAGCTCTTTCTCTTCATTATCGGATCTGCTCCAGCTTGATGCACTCCTTTCTCCCATCTTCTGCAGAGAGTCTTCTCAAAAAAAATAACCCCTGACCCTTCAATTTGTCTTCTAAGTTCTAACCTTCCTACTACAGAGTTGGAGGAAACGATTCTCCAAAAGACTGTCTGCTATCTGATTGATGTGTGAGCCCTGCAAGCAGCCAGTCTAGATGCTCTCACTGATGATGTAGGAATCGAATTGATGTGAATCCGTTTAAAGAGAACCTACTTTTTGTTGCTAGAAGAAGTGAGCTGCATTTTGTTATTGCTAGCCAAATCACAGGTGCATTCTCTAACCGATTCATCATTGGTTTAAATATTTAATTAATCATTACCTGCACCCAGCACTTCCATTGGAGTGACGAACTCATCCAGTGATTGGGTCTCCAGGTTGTCCATTCAATTTTTCCCTGGCTATCAATTATTAGGGTTTACGCGCCAAAGTTCACAATTTGGGGGGAGGGATCAAAATCACCATCGCAGGGCACCGAGCAGGCCAGAAAAAATGGGCATCTACAATCACGCATCAATACACTACTGATCGATAATCAACACACAGAAATGGCAACACAAAGACTCAATTGCCAAAAGAAGAATTAGCACGCGAAAGGCGATTCCCCAGCGAGTAGCTCTGGACTTACCAGAAGGAAGGCGATGAAGGGAGGGCGGGGGGACTAACTGCTGAATCGCTGATAGAGCAATTGAGCTCTTCTCCTCCATTGCCGAGACTGCGGCTCCGGTGCTTCCTCCACCCACCATTGCCGCCCGTTACCCACAGATCCACCTCCTTCTTTCATTTCTTCCTTTCCTCTCAAAATTAAACTCCTTTCTGTTCACTTCAATTGATTAAATTTAGAGAACATATTACACCTTTGGGGTATGTACGGTGCTCCGTTTGTGAAAACGACGTTCCGTTTGTGAAAGCGACGGTTCTTACCCCCTAACCCTCACCCTAAACTTACCCACCCCAGTCGCAAATCTAGTGTGTGTGTAGGTTTTGGTATTGATTTTCCAAAAATTTTGGGTAAAAGTAGAATTTGATGGGTAGATTATTAGTAAAAGGGTATGATGTGATAGATAGAGTATGAAAAAGTAAGGGCAAAAGTGACTTTTTAAAAGAAATAAGAAGTATTTTTTGAAACTGATAGAAAAAAAAGGAGAAAAGTTTTCTGGGACGGAGGAAGTATAAAACAAGAAGTTACAAGAATATTTTATTTTGACAAATGATCAATGAAAATACATGACAAAAGGAGATATAGCTTGGGCATGATAATGGTAATGTGAAACCTTTGTTGGGATGAAAGGAGTATGAATTACTTCAGGGTAAAGAAATTTGATACAAATCCCAAAGTTAAAGATTTCCGAATTTAGAGTTCCAGAATTTGAGTCAAATTTGAATTTGAAATCTAAATGTAAGTTTCCAAACATGCCATTACATAATTTCAAAATATGTTTATTATTTGGTAATATCAACACCAATTTTCTTTTCTTTTGTTTTCAAACTAAACACCAATATAATGTTTGGTGTGAGAAATTAGAAATGGAAGTAAAAGAAAAATAGTGTCTTTGATAACATAACACAAACAGTTGCTTATGTGTTTGTAGAATTTTTGGCAATGGATTAAAAAGGCCTTCTTCTCCATCCCCAACTCAAAAGCAACCAGGTCCAGATGGTTTCTCAAGTGGCTTTTATGGACTTGCTAGGGGAAGTAAGAGAAAGAATATGTCATTCAGATGCATGTTCAAACTATGCATGATTTGAACTATTCTGAATAACATAATAAAGTAATGGAATTGAATTGGTCTAACATTTGTTAAGTTATTCAAAATAGTCCAAATTACGTCCGATTTAGTTCAATTATTTTAAATGTGTTGTCAACTAAGTATTTCAAATGTGGGAGTACTATTGTATAATAACCAGGATATAGGAATACTGGTGTAAATATTTCTTACTTTTTTAATTATTCTTTTTTTTAGAAAAACAATTTTGTTTGAGTGCCTTTTTTACTCCCTCCGTCCCAACTTATTTGCCACATTACGCTAAACGAAGTAATTTTTAAATTTTTTTCAATTCATTTTATTTAAAGAATAATCTACAAATGAAAAATAAAATTTACATATTTAAAAACTACGTCAAAATTTCTACAAAACAAGTGGTGACAAGAATATTTTATTCTATCAAATAATCAATGAAAATGCAAAAATAAATAAAAGTTTCCGAGATTTTTAAATAGTGGAGTGTTGCTTATATTTTGGGACGGAGAGAGTATGTGATTTGTTAATTCTATGGAAGTGAAACACCCAAAACATATTCACTATTCAGAACAAGGATTAGTTACATACTCCCTCCGTTCCAAAAAGTCTTTCCTGTTTACTATTACGCTTCTCAATAACTCTTATTTGTTTGCGCATTTTCATTGATCACTAGATAAAATAAAATATTTTTGTCACCTCTTATTTTGTAGAGTTTTCGATGTAGTTTTTAAATATAACTTTTTTATGTGTTATTTCCTTACCAATTTGGAAATAAAATTATTTTAAAACTCACGGGGTTTTGCACGTTAATCAAAGTAGGAAATTCTTTTTGGGACGGAAGAAATATATTTTTTAATCATTCTCGTTTGGGATTCCATCTATTCATAATCATACTTCTCACAACCATGGGATAACTTTAATTATATTCATCAGACAAGCTTAATTACAAAACATTTGCAATAATGATAAAACTTACAGAAAGTGACACAATCATATCCAATATGAGTTAAAAGTAACAATCAAACAAAGGTAATTCTTAAGGCAATCTTTACTCAGAGCACTCGAAATACGTATGAAGTCCCGGTGCTTCAAATTTTCTCTCTGTCACGTCAGTTTTAACTTACACCAAAAATTCACTGGAAATAGTTTTGAAGCCCCGAGGCTTCAAACTGGGGCTTCAAACCTTCATTTTTTACATTTTTAAATATATATTTTCTAAATTTAAATTAATAAATTTAAATTAATTTATTATTTAAATTAATCGCAATGAGAGAAGTGTGAGAATATATTTTTAAAATATGTTTCATCGTCGGAAGATGAACCCATTTTTAAAATATATTTTATAAATATTTATAATAAATAATAAATATTTTAGAGAGAATATAAAGAGAGATGTGTGAGAGAATGATTTTTTTAAGGGAATTTTAGGTTTTTTTTTTAATTTTGATTTTTTTTTAATTTGGGGGGGGGGGGGGGGG